ATGATGTTTAATACATAAATCTTTAGGAGATCTCTGGTTACGTCCATTTAGTAAATTCCTAGACAAGTAATTGTTTGGTCAAAGAATATAAATATGTAAAAGGTTTTTGATACCCATTGCCCAATTTACCCAGAAAGGATCTGATGAATTATATAACACTGTATGTGGTCTGATGAATTGTAACTCTGTTATGTGTAAGAATTTCCATTTCACCCCTGAGTATGACAACTTTAAAAACTTTTGGCGATTTGATAAATGAAGACCTATACTACATTGTTATTTTATTTATCATTTACTTGATCACTACTAAAGTTGGAGTTTTTCGTATGCTAACTGGCTATTGAAAATTGTCTATTCAGGCCCCTTATCCATTTTTTTTTAATGGAGTTTTTTCTTACTGATTTGAAGAGCTTTTTATATGTAAATGCTCTTTACTTATTTGCTGGGTTTTTTCTTTTTCTCAGTTGCTAATTATCTTTGAAGTTTGCTTTTTTTGTTACTTAAATTTTTAAATTCTTAGGTAGTCAAATATATCACTATTTCTCTTATGACTTCATCTTTTGCTTTCTCATTGCAAGATGAGATCATTTTTTTTAAAGTAGACTCCACACACAGCATGGAGCCCAATGCAGGACTTAACTCACAAACCTAAGATCAAGACCTGGGCTGAGATCAAGAGTCTGACAACTGACTGAGCCACCCAGGCACTCCAAGATCAGATGAAGATTTACCTATATTTTCTTTATTTCAAAAATATTTTTTAAATCAGTCTTATTGTTTATGGGGATAAATATACAGCTTTTTTCTACTTAGCCAACCAATTATCATCCTATGACTATTAATTGAGCAGTGTCACCTTTTCCTAATATAAAACATACATTTATAATGCACAAAATTCATATAAATGCTGTGTACACAGTTATCAGGATTTTCTATCTTTCTATCTTATCAAGATTTTCTTATCTTTCCATTAATTTTCAAGTCTATTCTTGAAACAATGTCAGATTGATCTATATACTGTAGCATTTTTTTAGGAAGATTTTATTTATTTATTCATGAGAGAGAGAGAGAGGTAGAGACAGAAGCAGAGGGAGAAGCAGGCTCCCTGCAGGGAGTCCGATGTGGGACTCGATCCCAGGACTCCAGGATCACACCCTGAGCCCAAGGCAGAAGCTCAACTGTCGAGCCACCCAGCCGTCCAGCCGTCCCTATGCTGAAGCATTTTAATAATTCTGATGTTAGGTAAGGAAAATCTTCCCCTCAATTCTAATTTTTCTAAATTTTCTTGATTATTCTCCTCCATTTATTCTTCTTACAACTTTGAATAATTGTTATTAAAGTCCATAAACAATCTCATAGTAATTTTTATTAGGATGACTTAGCACTGACAAATTAATTGGCAGAGAAAGTACATCTTCACAACTGAATCTTTTATAATGTGGTATGTCTCTAAATTTAGTCTCTCTTATGCACCTCAAAATATTTACTACTTTCCACACATAAATTCTGTACATTTAAGATGCTTATTCCATGGGCAGCCTGGGTGGCTCAGCAGTTGGGCACCTGCCTTTGGCCCAGGTTGTGATCCTGGAGTCCCGGGATCAAGTCCCACATTGGGCTCCCTGCATGGACCCTGCTTCTCCCTCTGCCTGTGTCTCTGCCTCTCTCTCTCTCTCTGTGTCTCTCATGAATAAATAAATAAATCTTTAAAAATAGGGCAGCCTGAGTGGTTCAGCGGTTTAGCACTGCCTTCAGCCCAGGGCGTGATCCTAGAGACCCGGGATCAAGTCCCATGTCGGGCTCCCTGCATGGGGCCTGCTTCTCCCTCTGCCTGTGTCTCTGCCTCCCTCTCTGTGTGTGTGTCTCTCATGAATAAATAAATAAAATGTTTTAAATAAATAAATAAATAAATAAATAAATAAATAAATAAATAAATAAAATGCTTATTCCAAGGTATTTTATTTTGTATTGCTACTGTGAATTATTTCGGGGAGGGATCCTTTTTTTTAAGAGTGCAACTGAAAAAGCTGTACAGAAATATGTGATGTACCTCATCACAGGTGAACAGCCTCATTCCTCTGCTGATGGATTACAGCATGTAGCACTGATGGATAACTTCCTAGCCATGGTCCCACACTTGGGGCATGGGGAGATCACGTGCAAAGTATGTATTAGTTAAACTAAAAGGCTCGGTTGCTATATCCCAAAGACCTAACAATAGAGTGGAGTAGAGAGCAAAGAAGCTTCTTTCCCTCTCATGTAAGAGTCTCAGATGAGCATACCAGGCTGGTGGACAACTCTCATCTATGAGGGTAGTCATGGACGCTTGCTCCTTCCAGGTTATTGTCTGTTGCACCCCCTAAGGCATCATCGTTGTCTATTTGGCTAGAGCTAGACTGCCTCACATCAGGGTTGCCAATGGTGCAAAGGGAGAGAGAGTGTTGGAGGGGCACCCACAGTCCTCAGGTCTAGGCCTGGGAATGACACATGATGCTCAGAGTCCCTCAGAAAGACCTCAATGACACTGTCACACCTACGTCCAAGGTGAGTGGTAAATACAGTCTAGTTGTGTACCCAGGAAGAAGCGGAGGACAGCTGCCAATACTGACCCCTCAAGTAGAAAATGTGGTAAGAGATTACTGATTATTTAAAAGGGCTATGTCCGATCACACAATTACCCAAGTCTGGTGCACCATTTCTCCCCTTCACATCACTATTTCTCTTACAGTTGTGATGCAGAGGCCTACTTGATTGACTACTTTGTCTCTTAGAAGTACATGGAAGAGGGGCACCGGAGTGGCCCAGTCGGTTAAGTGGCTGCCTTCGGCTTGGGTCATACTCTCAAGGTCCTGGGATCGAGTCCCACCCCCATGTGGGGCTCCCTGCTCAGCGGGGAGTATGCTTATCCCTCTCCTTCTGCCCTTCTCCCCACTTCGCTCATACTTGCTCTCTTGCAAGCTCTCTCTCCCTCTCTCTCTCTCAAATGAGTAAAATCTTCAAAAAAGAAAAAGGAGTACATGGAGGATTCATGATGACCAAACCAAACTCATGAGAACATGCCACCGTTCTTTGCATTTGAAGACAATGCTAATTTTCATGCTGTCCTCACAGAATTGCAGGGTGTGGCTTTTAGTATCACTATTGACAGGGTTGTTCAAAATAAGTCCTATTTGTGTCTGTCTGCCATTGTGTCTCACATCTGTGCCGCATTATGTGGCAGGGTTAGCAAGCTGTTTGCCAATACCTAGTCTCTCTTTCTCGGGAATAGGATGATAATTAACTTGGTATGGCTGTCAGAATAGACCGCACGTTGTCCGACTTCCTTTGCAGCTAGGTATGGTCACATGACTAGGTTTTGGCTAATGGTATGTGAGCAGAAGGGATATGTGCAACTCTCAAGTTGTGCTTAGGAGCATCACCTTTCCTTCCTCCTTTCACCCTTCCTTCTGCCTGGAATGTGGATATAATGGGGGATCTGAGCACGCCACGAGGAGTAGAGCAGCAGAGCAAGAGCTTGGGTCTCTGACAATTCTACAAGCTGAGCACATACTGGCTTGGATTTTTACATGCAAGAGAAATAAACCTCGATTTTGTATAAGCTGGGTCTCTGTGACAGCAGTGGAGACCGTATCTTGATTAATACAGAGTTTCAGGATCCATTTCTGGTCACCCTCCAACTCAGCATAAGGCAGCTCTCTGGGCACCTGGCCTTGGCTGTCCCATGCACAGCTGGGCCGCAACAGCCGCTGTGTGCAGCTTTGGGGAATTCATTCTTTCCTTCCCTTCCAACATCCACTCCCTCATCCCCTAAATGTGGATGCACCTGCCTGGTGCCAGGCATGGGACCAAGCTTTGGGAACATAACAGTGAAAAAGGCAGGGTCTCCATCCCATAAGTTGTTTGGAGAAGAGTGGTCACATTTAGAAGCACATAAGCATGAGTTGGTGGAGAAATACAGAGGGTGAAGAAATTCTGCTGAAAGTAGTTGGAATCAGGCTAGAGACCAATAGCCATGTCTCTCAAGAGTCTGTACACTATGCCAGTTCCACAAAAGGGGAAAGTGGTTCTGGAAGAGAAATCCTAAGCTAATACAATTCTTTGCAACCTCCTCAATTGCCTTTGATATGAGGTTCTGCAAAGTTCAGAAGCCTGTCTACAGGGATATAGACTTGACGTTCACACTTTCAAAGATGGTGAAACAAGAATGATTTTAACTGACTCACCCCGAGCGCTCCCCCCGCAGCCCCTGCAATCTGCAGCCCCCATACCTCTGGTTGCCAGTATTGCTCTTTCACAGAAACAGCCGGGCGGGGGGTCCAGGCTGCACTGGCGCAGGGTTGTCCGCCACAACCTCACATCTGACCTTGCTCCAGTCAAACTCGGGGGTCTGGCTGGCTGTGTCCTAAACACGGCTGTGCTTTCCAGCTTGCGTGCTTCTGTTCAGACTCTTCCTTGCTCCCAGAAAGCCCTTCCCCTAAGGCTGCCTGAAAGAATCTCAAATATTATAAGGATTTTCCTGATACCCTAAGTGGACACACATACCAACACACGTGGCCCTGCCTTGTCCCCTGACCAGATTACAAGCTTCTCAGATGAGGGGCCGAGCTGCTGTGTTTTACTGATGCTGGCGGGTTCTTAGCACAGAGCTTTGCATATGGGAGGTGCTTAATAAATATTTGTTGGATTTGATTTGGCTGATTTTCTTCTCTCTTAAGGCATGGTGACTGAGGAAAGGGCACAGCCGGGGAAGCTAGGGCTCAGAGATGATGTGCTCACCCCAGCAGTGTAGCAATGACTTTTTCACGGGTGAAATTGGAATAATGATGACACTTCCTACTTCACAGGGCTTGAGGGAAGAAAATTGTAAATGCTAGCTCTTCACACAACCTATAATTCACTGATTAGCTGTGTGAACTTGATCTTGTCTCTTAATTTCTCTGGGATTCACATCGGGGAATTAAAAAAAAGGAAAAATGTTGGGTAACAGGATAGTTGTTTATTCATTTGAAAAAAGACTCTATAATTTATGGCCATCATAACAGCCAAGGCCAAGCAGATTTAAGATCTAGATGTGAAAAGGAAAACTTGAAAACTTATGGAAGAAAACAGAAAATGTCATATGACCTCATTACACTAGGCTGCTAAACTAAAGAGTTGCAGGTAGTGGCAGAGCCAGCCTGACAGCAGCTCCACGGACTTCAGCATGAGGTTTCCCAGGCTCTCTGGTTGTCACCATTCTGGCCGGCTCCAGGGGGAGAGAGTGGACATCTAGGAACAAAGACTTTCTCAGAAGCAAGTGAAGCAGGTGCTACACGTAAATCTTCTAGAAGCGCTCCACAGTACCACCAGCCACAACTCTGTTACTGGAAAAGAAGAAGGATGCGGATGTTATGGACAACTGTCAGTCTCTGTCATATTAAATATAAAGGAGAAGACTGATACATTGAATTATATTAACTTAAAAATTCTGTTGAACAAAGACAATGGAAAGGTTAAAAAAAGACAAATATTAGACAAGAAAAAAAATGTGAGCGACACGTATGATTGACAAAAATTAGTATCGAGAATCTAAGGAACCCTTTCTTTTTTATTTTTTAAAAATATTTTATTTATTTATCCATGATAGACACAGAGAGAGAGAGAGAGATGGAGGGAGGCAGAGACACAGGAGGAGGGAAAAGCAGGCTCCATGCAGGGACTCGATCCCAGGACTCCAGGATCACACTCTGGGCGCTTAAACCACTGAGCCACCCAGACTACCCTAAGGAACTCTTTCAAATCACTAAGAAAGGGAGTAGCAACTTAATAGAGAAATTGACAAAAGATGTAAACAATAAGTGCTAAGAAGAAGAAACCCAAACATATTTTTTAAAAAAATAAGCCTCATGGATAGTCAAGAAAAGGCAAATTAAAACCATAAATGGATATTGTTTCACATCTATCTGCTTGGCATGAAATTTTTAATTTGACAGTATAAAATAAAGAGCAAAGGGAACTTAATCATTGGTAGTATTATAAATTAATGCAACTGTTTTAGAGAATTAAATAATGAATGAAGTTGAAGTAGACATACCATATGAGCACATACCCATTCTATTTTTCGATTTACACCCTGGAAAAACTTTTGCACCTGGGCACAAGGAGAGTTTTACAAGAACTCTCATAACAACGTTGTGTAATGGCCAGAAAAAAAAAAAAATATATATATATGTAAGCAACCTGAATGTTCATCAACTGGAGAATGGATAAACAAATTGTGACGTGTTAAGATGATGGAATGCTATATAGTGACTAAAATAAATGAACTCGACCTATACAATGAATGCAGATAGATCTCACAAATACAACTCTGAAAACAAAATGTTTTGTAGGTTGCAGAAGAAGCTTGCAGGATGCCGTCATACATAAAATTTGAAAATATGCCCAACACTCCACATATTGTTTAAGGACACATAAATTTGTAGCGGAAATATAAAAGAATGCATGGAAGGATAATCGTGAAATTCAGAACACTAGTTTTTTAAGGGCAGTGGGACAGGGGAGGGGATATGTACTCAGGATGAGGGCACAGGGAATGTCAATTGAATTGATAATGTTTTATTTCTTCAACTGGGTGGTAGGCACATAAGTATCCATTTAATTGTTTTTATCCTTTTTATACATCTGAAAATATTTCATGATAAATTTTAGTCATGTTTTAAGAGAAGGGGCTTGGGGTGGTCAAGATCCAAGACAGTCCTAGTGACCCTGGCCTCCTGGTACTCGTGCCCTTGTGTACCTCCCTCCCTTCAGTCACGCTGTATGACTTCTGATGCCAGGTCATAGGAGGCACTATGGTTTCTGCCTTGTTCTCTTGCATCACTTGTTCTAAGGGAAGCCATCGTTGGTGGACTCTAGCTCACATACACTAAAGACAACTGTATTAGGAGACAAAAATAATTCACAGGATGGAAAGAATGGCTGAACAGCCCAGCTTTGGGCCATCCTGGAGATCTTGGTAAGAAGTATCCACGGGCATTGTCTCTTTGCACAACTCAACATTGTGAGTTCTTCCCCAGGGGGGAAGTTTCTTCTTCCCCAGGGGATCTCCCCAAAGTTTCAAATCTCTGGCTTAAGGAGTCCAGTGGCCTAGTCAGAGCCTTATGCCCAACCTTGGAGGTGGGGGTGGGGGTGGAAGGGGTTGGGAACGGGGACAGTCCTGTGACTGGCAGCCCTATCAGGATGCAATGATTGGAGATAAGTCAGTTTCCGGGATCCCTGGGTGGCTCAGTGGTTTAGCGCCTGCCTTTTGGCACCAGGGCATGATCCTGGAGACCTGGGATTGAGTCGCATGTCAGGCTCCCTGCATGGAGCCTGCTTCTCTCTCTGTCTGTGTCTCTGCCTCTCTCTCTCTGTGTGTCTCTCATGAACAAATAAATAAAATCTTGAAAAAAAAAAAAAAAAAAAAGAGAAGTCAGTTTCCCAGAGAAAGCGATGTTGGGCTGGCCAGAAGAAGAGGCGTCCATTTACCCCCTGGCTTTACATACTTGTCAGAAGGTTTAAATAAGATCAGGCTCCTGTGAGAGTCTCTTTTAAATCTCTGTAAAGGTATAGTCTTATTTTCTCTTTCTTGAATTTCGAGGTTAGCAAGGGCCTCTCCTCCGGACACCCCTAGTGCTCAGAGGTCTGGCGGGAGCTGCAGCAGCCTTGGGGGCACCAGACCCCGCAGGCCCAGGGCTCTGAGCTCCGGAGGTGCAGCTGTCATCAGGAGGGGAAACCTGCAACTGCTTCCAGGAGTGTTGTCTGTGCCAATGATGGGAGGCTTAGAAGAAAGGCAACTGCTTGGCCTTTATGGGAGACGTGTCTCCGAAGGGACCGTTTGCATCTCCATCGCCGTGTGAGAGCCCCGTGGGTGGAGCCCCCGCGCCGTGAGGCAGGACGATGCAGTCCCGGGCCTCAGCGGCTCTCAGGAGCACGCATCTGCGCTGCCAAAGAATTACAAAGAAATCACAGCACACCCATCACCGGGTCATGAAGTACAGATGGCTCTTTTCCCCCTCTTGTCCCCCAGATGCTGTTTCCAGAGCTTTGGCAGACTGGCTTGTCTCCCTCCCACCCCACCTACCTCCTCTCCCTGGAGGTCCTCCGTTTGCAATGTTGGTTTCAGGCTCTCCCTTCCCCACGGCGTTGGCCTACTGGCTCCACTTCATCTCAGTGACAGACAGAACTTGGCAAATAGAATCAGGAACCCGCATTTTGGAGACAAGGGGGGAGAGGAGGAAGCCAAACACGGGCTGGGATACCCCTGTGGAACCACCTCTCGCTCTGCAGCTCCCTGGGGTTTTATGGACAGCATGAAGAAAGGTGGCCAGAGGGGGTCACAGCCCCACCCGGACATTCCCATTCGGACCCCAGGAACGCAGACATAGCACTCCAGTGCCAATCTTGCCAACGTGTACCTGTTCTGTGACACCACCCCCCCCCCCAATGTCCTCTTCTGGGTCCTGGAGGGGAGAGTTTTCTTTGTTCCCAGTTCCCGAAATGGTAACGATCTTCTTTGTCATCTCTGAGACTTGCAACGTTGTCATGGGAGATAAATGCCTCGGTGCTAGTAATCCTTAGATAAAAGTGCTTTACACGTGTGAAAGAATTATCTTTAATTTTGTCTCTTGGGTGTGTGGGGAGTATTAATTAGTTAATCTCCGCAAAGTGCTATAATTGGCGGGAGGAATTATCAAAACCCTGGGGAAGGAGTAGTTTTGAGTGTAGTCACTTAAAACAGTTCCGCCGTTCATAGCAGCTGACGTAGCAGGTCTAGTGTCCCAGATGTCACAAACCAGCTTGGCTTCCAGCGAGTCCTATATACCATTCCTGCCCGGTCAGGGATTAAAAAAAGAAGAAGAAGAAGGAAGAAAAAGTGAAAATAAATTTGAATGGGGTTGAGGTGAGATGTCAACATGCAAAGAAAATGCAGGACGTGAATCAGTCATAGATTCTGTTCTTGCCATTGACCCTCCTCCTGGAGCCCCGAAACACATGTGTGAAGTGGAGTAGGAGGAAAAGAATCCCCACAGAGCTGCTGGGGGGATGACCCAGCGTAGAGCCACCCCCAGGAAAGCAGGGAGAACAAGGAAGGCTCCCAACTCGGGCCCTGCAGCAGACAGACCCTGAATCTCTCTAGGTCTCCACCTCCACCTTTGTAAGATGAAGAGCATGAGCCAGATGTCTACAGATGAGGCATCGTAGGAAGACGTAGTAAGCGAAATGCTCACGTAGTCCTTGCTACCTGTCAGCCACTGGACTGAGTCTTAAATTCACTCCATACTCATGGCAGCTAGTAGGTTATTTTTGCCCTTACAGAGCTTGATAAAGGCTGGGTGTGAACCCAGCTGGTCAGGTCCTGACAGTCCACAATCCATTATAACCACAATGTCAAGCTGCCGCCTTACGTAAGAAAAAAATCTCTTCATGAACCTCGCTGTTCATGAAAAACCTGGAGGGGAGCATTTCAAAAGTACCAAATGTGAAATTCTTTGAGGCTCTCCACAATTGAAGCTTGGGCTCACAGAAATAAATAGCTCTGTTATCCTTCCAGCCTCTGGACAACGATGGGATATAAAAACAAAGAGACTGAGAGTCCGACAGCTCTCTCCTCTGAGCTTTTCACAATCTTAAAGTGAGTCACATGTTGGCTTTTAAACCTAGACTGAAAAAAAAATTAAACCTAGACTGTACCCTTAAACTAAAATTGTTGTTTGGACAGCGGTGCTTTCGGCAGTCTCTTAGCAAAACTGGCCAATTATGTGAACCCAAATCGCCAAGCTTATGGTTTGCAAACGCCATTTGGAGATTCAAGTGCACAGATTTGGGTAGTTTTTCAAGGGAATCATAAGAAGAAATCTAAGCATGAGAATTTTTATCTACTCTTGTCCAGTTCTCCTTTCTAATATATCAAAGAACTGTTGACATTTGCATGATGCACTGGGCAGATAGAGGTCCATGGCCGTGCCAAAAATGGCAATTATTTATGTCAGTACCTGATTTTTACTTGATTCCTTTGTCTCAGTCTAGTTTCTTCTAAAGCAAGCAATGTGGGGCACCTGGGTGGCTCAGCAGGTTAAGTGGCTGCCTTCGGCTCAAGTCATGATCTCAGGGTCCTGGGATCGAGCCTCACATCAGGCTCTCTGCTCAGCTCAGCATCTGCTTCTCCCTCTGCTCCTGCCCCTGCTTGTTCATTCTCTCTTCCCTTTCTCTCTCTCTCTGTCAAATAAATAAACAAAATCTTTTAAAAAAATAAAGCAAGCAATGTATTTAATAAGTAAACTCTTACTTAGGTGAATTTCTTCAATTCATAATCACTCACTAAAAACTACATTGACCTAGGCTACTGCTTTGGTGGCATGTGATGTGCCTTAGTTAATCCGATGCTGATTCAGGATGTAAAACGTGGGGTCTGAGGTCCTGCATTTCTAACAATTCCTAGGTGATCCTGATGCTGCTGGTCCCCTACAAAGCTTGAGTGTCTAGCTCTTAGACCACGCTGAATAGACAAAAAGAGAAGAGGAGGGGATGGAAGCTCCCAGCAGTGGCTTGGGTGACAAGAAAGCCTGAATAGGAGTCAACAGTGGTCTTAAGGGCTTTGCTTAGGAAGGACCTCCCATGCCCAAAAAGGAAAAGAAAAAAAAAACTCATCTGAAATTCTATAGTAAGAAAATTCCTCCTTCATTTCCTTAAATATGAACACTCCAAGAAGAGAGATACCAATTTATTCCAGGAATTAGGAGTTATTCCTTTAGGAGAGGAGGCTGGCAATTGAGGGCACAGTGGGGTATTTGGGAACACCACAGAGGGAGCTCAGGGATGCTGAGGTGACCAGGGACTACTGGGGTAAGGGCTGGGTCTGCGTGGCATAGGAGACCCCACAGGCATTCTGTGCCTTCCTGGTGATAGGAGACCCTGATGAAGGACAATCTAGCCTCAAGCTTGCAGCCCTGCCCAACTTCCCCGCATCTTGGAGGTGGTCGAACATGAAACCTCAATGAGGGACTTTTCCGACACAGAAAGAAAATGAGAGCTCAGAGCTGAAGGCTGCGTGAAGCCCCTCGTTAGGGCAAAGAAGCAGTAAGGGAATTCCAGGGTGGACCTAAGAGCATAGCACGTACAGCACAGAAGACCACAGGCTCCACATGCAGATGGACTGGCTCCAAATCCTGCCTCAATCACCAACACCACCAACAACTCTATGTCTTAGGGCTTTAACCAAACTGTGCCCTGCTGGCTCACTGGACTCTACGTCTTAGGGCTTTAACCAAACTGTACCCTGCTGGCTCACTGGTCAAACATGATGTGAAGAAACTCCAATATTCTCTCTCATCTTCTTCCTTAGAACTCAAACATTTACATTGCTGGCTGGGAAACTAAGACACTACATTCTAGCCTCCCTTGCAGCTAGGTATCCACGTGTAACTAAATTCTGACCGATGAAATGTAAACAGAAATATTGTTGGGATTTCTAGGAATAAAATAAGGTGGCCCTTAACAATTATTTTTTAAATTTCAAAAAAAGTCGTTCTTTTATCCTCTCTTCCCACTTCCAGTTGCCTGAAAGAGACATGTGATGACTGGAGCTACTGCAGCTATGTTGGACCTTGTGACCTTGAAGCCATGAGCTGAGGAAGGTGGAGGAAAAAGATGATATCTTGATGATGCCATGGAGCCACCACATCAATAGTGGCCCGGCCTACATCCAGATGGTTTATTTTTTACATAGACAGGAAAGGCAAATAAACCTCTATCTTAATGAAGCCATCACTGCTTAGGGACATTTCTGTATAAGCAGCTGAACTGGATAGTAACTGACTGAGGGAAAACATTATTAACTACCTCAACATGTTTTTGTGAGAACTAAATGAGAGGATATATATAAAACTCTTAGTGCCACTCCAAGCACACAGTAAGTCTCAGTAATTGCTCAGGGGAACTCAGTCACCAATCCTGAGTCCCATATTTTAAAGATGAGTTGACCGAGGCCCAGAGATGCAAAGACACTCGAATGCGGCACCCAGCCTGATAGAAACAGCCCCGGTCTCCTCGTACCTGCTTGCTCCAAAGCCTTTCTCAGAGCAGAGGGTGGGGGGAGGGCTGGCACGAGAGAGGATCCATGTAATCAAGAGATGACCCCTAGATAATAGGACACACAGGTGTCCTTGGGGGACCAAGCGTTTAATTCCAAGGCTTTCATTCAAACAAAATCAATCCACATTTGATTATTTACTTACTATCAGGAAACAAGGAAGAGGCAGGAGGGAATAAGGTCAGGTTTGACTGTATACCCGCCTGTGCAATGTTTGTGGATGGAGAGCCACGACACTGGGAGTAAAGAAGCAGGTGTCTCTGATGGCCCTTCCTCAGCTGGACCATCGGCCCAGGACCCAGGGAGTCATGCTTTCTGGACCCTCTGAAGAGTCCCCTCCTAGCCTGACTCCAGAGGCCTCTGACTGCTCACTCCCTCACCTTCCCAACTGTGACCCAGCAGAATCACTTACCTGCCTGACAGCAGCCTGTGTCTATTGGAGGCGTCTTGGAGGACAGGGCATAGACTGGTTTCCTTGGGTTTGTAGCAAGGCCCCAGATGGCGGAGCCACCCTGATGACCTGAAAGCATCCTGCTATAATCTGCTCAGAACTGTGGTCTCCATCCAAATTCTCACATGTGCCAATAAAGTGATCCCCAGCAGCTCGAGGAGGCTCCACGACAAGCTCCCAGAGTGCCATCTGGGCAGGAATGGCAAATGTGTTTTTTTCACATGCTACCTGCTTAGTGCCGCCTTTCTGGACCACTGTGTTGAGAAGGATCCTGGCCGTTAGTGGCAAGGGTTCCCGCAGAGTATCAGCAACATCTGCTAAGGGCCACTCAAGAGGTAGGATCAAAGGCTCACACGCTTGCCTGGGATTTCAGGTACATGAGACCATCAGCCTCAAACTATATCGCTATCGATCTGTGTCCTACGTGTAATTTTAGAGAACCAGCCTGTGGCTCATAAACACATCCCCACTCCTTCTCACAGACACCGCTCACATAAAGAATAAAATTCGAGTTGCATCCATTTTTGCCATTTTTGTACTTGGAAGCACTTAATCTGCAGAATTCACTAAAAGGGACAGTGTTGGCTGTTTACTCTGAATAACTAAAGCTTAAGTAAAGTATAAAATGTGTGCAATATTACTTTGATCCAACCGCTAGCACTACAGGGGAGTAGGCCCTTCCTTTCTGGAAGCAATTCCTCTTCTCTAGAAATCTCCACTTTCCATCTCCAGGAATGGGTCCCTAGCAAGGGCTCAACCACAAGATCGGGTCTTGTGATCACAGTTGCTTAGTGCTGGGGCGGCTACTCACTTCAAGTCGAGACAATCTGATCCACTCTCCTGGGAATGTCATGTTTGAACCAGAAGTTATAGAAGTTGGGAGTTGGAGGTGGAGTCTAGCACCAAGCTAGAGGAAGTATCTCAAAATCAGTTCCCTCCAGGGGTTAGTTGGGCAAGCAGGCCATGTGTGATAAAAACAGTCCACTGTGATAACAGCAACTAGCAGTCTGTGTTTGGGGGTTACTAGGGAGTGGTGGGGACTGTATCCAACAGGGTGACATGCCCAGTCTGAAGGGTCAGCTTCTACTCAGTTCCAGCCAATTGTTGCCCTGCAGGAAAGGGGCCTAATGTTGTCATATTATTTTATTTTATTTTTTCAAGAGAAACCTGAAATCTAGATTTTTATGTTGAAGGCCTTCCAATTTTTTTAACTTGTCAACTAAATTTCAAAGCTGTACCAGTCAGTCAAATAAATCACGTCTTCGGTAAAATATTGCCTGAGAGTCAATGATTTCCAATCTATGCTTTTGAGAAGGTTTCTGAATGAGTCGGGGTCCTACCAGGACACAAACTGCTTGCTCAGAGAGGAGGATTTTTATAATGAGACCATTTACAAAAATGTATTGCAGGGTTAGGACTAGGGTAAAGTGAGTGAGGCACTGGCCTCTGAAAATCTCAGCAAGTGAGACAAATAATATTTTAATGCAATAATTTAAAAAATCAAAATTAACACCAAAAAAAAAAGCCTATGATAAACAAAATGTCAACACTTTAAGTAAAGGCAGACCCCGTACTACTGATATTTCTGATGTGGCCCAGCACAGCACTAATCAAAGTGTAGGGAAACTACAAATGGTAGTGCAGCTCCCTGGAGGTGGTAAAAACAGAGCTGTTACCGCAGTAAGGCCAAAGAAACGAAAGGAAAGAAGAGTTACTACGTAAAAGGAGAGAGTCATGCTGAAAAGGCCACCGTAAGATGACCTGTGACTGCTGGCCTAGAGACTTGGCCATCCCAAGGCATTCCCCAAGGTAGGATTCACAGGGAGGAATAATACCCTGACCACACTCTCCATTCTTTCTCTGAGCTCCTGCCAGGATATATCATTGGCCAAACCCAACCAAAAGTCAAGGGAGTAGGAGACCATTGATGTGGTCCACAGAGCCCACTGATGCACAGCATAGAAGCACAAAGCAAGATAAAGATAGAAAATGGCCTAGAAGGGCAAATGGAAAAGCATAGGCCTGGAATTCCTGCCTTGGTCCCCAGCCTCCCTGAAACCTGGGAATTCAGTGATTTCCAGGACTCTGAGTTTTCCTAGTATCCTCCCAAAATAGCCCTTTTTCTGCTTAAGCTAGCTAAAGTTGGTTTCCGATATTTGCCACCCCAAGAATCTTACCTAACATACCCAGCCTGGATGAAAATGACTGACCTACAGACTGTCAAACCCCAGGTAAATTCCACCAGTATACAGCCATCCCTGAGCAGTCCCAGCTCACACACAGATGTACCTCTTCCTGCCAGCCAACAGCATTTGGGAACTTGACTGGCATGGTATTTCCTAACTAATAACCCATTGAAAAAGCAAATGCTCTTGGTTAATTACCAATCATAAAATAATAAAGTTGTCTACCAAAAGTGGCTTAGGTATATTATAATGATCCTGCCCTACATTTAGGCATTGAGTTACTGCTTGACCTATAATTCCATGGACTTTTACTTGGGGGAAGGTACCATGGAATCCATCCTGTACAGCATTCATAGAACCTTGACCAAGATATCTATGTGGGTTTTAAAAATACATTCTGTAAGTAGGAGATAACACAAGAAAGGCAGAAAACTTACATAGGTTACTCAGAATCAGGGAGAAAAGGCAACTTCACGAGAATAAATTTTTT